GTACTTGCCCTGTTAATAATATTTTCATGGATGAAGTATCATTACAATATACTTGCCATGTTAGTAATATTTTCATGGATGAAGCATTGTTACAATATACTTGCCTTGTTAGTAATATTTTCATGGATGAAGTATTGTTACAATATACTTGCCATATTAGTAATATTTTTATGGATGAAGCATTGTTACAATATACTTGCCATGTTACTAATATTTTTATGGATGAAGCATTGTTACAACATACTTGCCATGTTAGTAATATTTTCATGGATGAAGTATCGTTACAATATACTTGCCATGTTACTAATATTTTTATGGATGAAGCATTGTTACATCATACTTGCCATGTTACTAATATTTTTATGGATGAAGCATTGTTACAATATACTTGCCATGTTAGTAATATTTTCATGGATGAAGTATTGTTACAATATACTTGCCATGTTACTAATATTTTTATGGATGAAGCCTTGTTACAATATACTTGCCATGTTAATATTTTTTATGGATGAAGCATTGTTACAATATACTTGCTGTGTTAATAATATTTACATGGATGAAGCATTGTTACAATGTACTTGCCCTGTTAATAATATTTACATGGATGAAGCATTGTTACAATGTACTTGCCCTGTTAATAATATTTTCATGGATGAAGTATCATTACAATATACTTGCCATATTGTTACAATATACTTGCTGTGTTAATAATATTTACATGGATGAAGCATTGTTACAATGTACTTGCCCTGTTAATAATATTTTCATGGATGAAGTATCGTTACAATATACTTGCTGTGTTAATAATATTTACATGGATGAAGCATTGTTACAATATACTTGCCCTGTTAATAATATTTACATGGATGAAGTATTGTTACAATGTACTTGCCCTGTTAATAATATTTACATGGATGAAGTATTGTTACAATATACTTGCCATATTAATAATATTTTTATGGATGAAGCATTGTTACAATATACTTGCCACATCAGTAATATTTTTATGGATGAAGCATTGTTACAATATACTTGCCATGTTAGTAATATTTTCATGGATGAAGCATTGTTACAATATACTTGCCTTGTTAGTAATATTTTCATGGATGAAGCATTGTTACAATATACTTGCCTTGTTAGTAATATTTTCATGGATGAAGCATTGTTACAATATACTTGCCATGTTAATAATATTTTCATGCATGAAGTATTGTTACAATATACTTGCCACATTAGTAATATTTTCATGGAAGAAGCATTGTTACAATATACTTGCCGTGTTAGCAATCCACAAAATGTTTTTTCAAATCCACTGCCCTTGTTACAGACCAGGGGAAAACCACCATGTTTTGTGGTCAGTAAAAGCTTTGCTAGATGAGAAACTTTTTCCACCTTTTGCAACGTTACCACAGGACTAGTCATGGCATACTTGGTTGTATACAACTCAAGGTTTAAGCTGAAAAAAAGACAAGAGATTACTTTTAAAGTACACTATCACTTGGTCCTCAATGAAAGTTTTTTTTTGCAATGCTATAACAGTGAGGTAGTTACTGTCCAACATCAAAGTTCCACAAGTCACTTATTAAACAGACACTAAACAATTAGCTTGTGCACGAGAGAGAAAACATAACTAGTCAAAAAAATCTGTTTGGACTGAAAAGGATTGGAACAATTGTTTTCTAATAAATGATTGAAACATTATAAGTTAACTTTTTAAAGGACATGGGATCAAGAAGTAATTTGTTCTGACCTCAGTCAGTCTTTGCAGAGAAAGATGGTAACTTAAGGGTAGAACAGCTGAAGTTTGGGTAAAGTTTAAATTAACCTCTTATCATCCATGGAAGTGTTTTTTCCATTACCGTAGCAATGCTTTGATGACAAAAAACCAGGCGCAAGGCACTTAAATGACATCCAAAACATTTCGCATATATATATATATATACGGGTGGAGATGATGTCTAGCATGCATAAATATACAGGTGGAGATGATAATGGGTTAAGAATTTAGAAAAAAAATCTTTACAAAATCAGGAAAATATTAAGAGTAAAATGTTTATTTACAAAGAAAGATCCTGGGAAAATGACTCTGATCATACCTCAATAATTCTTTCGTTTTACTTTTGAAAAACTTAATGGATGCATTTTGACACAATTTTTCAAAAATTTGGTTTTTCATGTAAATCCATGAATGCAATGTGAAGATAAAAAATTCAGTAACTGAAACTCTCACTTTTTCTTTCCTTCATAATAAATGACTGGTTCAGAATCCAGGAAAGGAATACACTTGAACTCCAGCAAGGAATGGTAAAAGGGGTGGGTAACAAAGTCCCCTACCCATTTTGCTACCATGATGGCTACCATGATTAGCAATAAGAACTGGATATCATTAGTCAACTCCATCTAAAAAGAAGAAACAGAAAACAGTCTTTAAACTCAGTATTTTAAGAATTATCATTGGATGACAGAATTTATGTTAAAATTATAACATGTTTAATTTTTTTTTTTTGAGGATAAAAATTTTTTATTAATGAGTGCATCAAGAACATTGGATTTGTTTTTCAATGAGTTTCATGACTGATTCTTCAATTGGATGATTCTGAATATCTAATCCACAACAAATATGAAAAACAGATACTGTTTTGAGATAAGTTTCTTACTTTTATAAACAACTAGTAGAGACTTTCAAAACATGTGAGGTAAATTTGGTATCTATATTGCAACACTACTTCTTTAAATACAAGACTTCTAGAATAATACAGACAAACTGTAATTGCAGACACCAAAATGTGTAAGTCCACTTGTATATAGGCCGTACTTTACAAAACCTTAACCTAAGTTAGGCCTAAGTTTGATAAAGAGATAAATTAAAGCTTAAAATTTAGACCTAACTAAACTTAAAGTAAAAAATTTGCACTGGTAACAACATTAATTTATCTCTTTATCAAACTTAGGCCTAGCTTAAAAGTTTTCAAAAAGGTCTGATGTTAGTTCATAGAATAACATTATAAGTTTATTTGTCAACAGTATTCAGTACAGTAAAGTTTAGTCCTAACTAAACTAAAGTAAAAAAATGTGCACAGGTTACCCGTACTTAATACTGTGGACAAATAAACTTATAATGTTATTCTATGAACTAACATCAGACCTTTTTGACACCTTTTAAGCTTTTAAGTTAGGCCTAAGTTTGATAAAGAGATAAATTAATGCAGTAACCTGTGCACATTTTTTACTTTAAGTTTAGTTAGGACTAAACTTTACTGTATTTAATACTGTGGACAAATAAACTTATAATGTTATTCTATGAACTAACATCAGATTCTTTTGAAAACTTTTAAGTTAGGCCTAAGTTTGATAAAGAGATAAATTAATGCTGTTACCAGTGCACATTTTTTACTTTAAATTTAGTTAGGTCTAAATTTTACTGTACTTAATACTGTGGACAAATAAACTTATAATGTTATTCTATGAACTAACATCAGATTCTTTTGAAAACTTTTAAGCTTTTAGTGTTGTTGTACAAAATGGTTAATAAAGTATATTTACATCCACCTTTTGTTCTTATTCCTTCATTCATAAAGCAGTTGTAGTGACTTTTTCACTCAGCTTTGCGACTCTGGTTGTTGTCAAGTGCATAATGTGCCTATGTGGATTTTCTTTGGTAAAATTCTTTGTGCACATGTTTAAAATGTGCACTGAATACGCAGAATTACAGTATGATGAACCAATATGGATAAATCTATGGATTCAATTTGTTGATGATAAATTCAAACAATAAATGGACAGCACACAATCCACTTGTTCTAAAATAATATGTATTCAAACCAAATCAAACGTATGTACAAAAATTCTTTACACCACAGGATATCACAGTTGTATCTAAAACTCTAAATAATTATCTTTTCTTGTCAAAAGTCCACACAGGCTGATTCAATTACTTTAGAATCCAACTGACAAGACGAATTATGTTTCTCTACTCAGTTCTTTTACTATACAATCTGCGATAAATTCACTTACGTTAACCCGTGGGTTACCACAGTTGTATCCAGAGCTTTAAATAATAGTCTCCTTTTCATCAAAGTCCACACAGGTGGTTTCAATTACCTTAGAACACCCTTTGACAATACATATTGTTTCTCCTTGTCTCCGTTAACTGTGAAATTCACTATAAATATTGCCCGTTATGGCTAAACTAACAATCACAGTCTACTTAGAACACCCTTTGACATTACATATTGTTTCTCCTTGGCTCCGTTAACTGTGAAATTCACTATAAATATTGCCCGTTATGGCTAAACTAACAATCACAGTCTAATTTCACTTTCATTAACTTAACTTTTTCTGACTTAACTTCTTTAGAAATCACTCTTCATGGCTAAACTGCCAATCACTCAGTCTACATCTGTTTAAGTATCTCTCACTTAACTTGTTTTCTTAACTTCCTCTCTGTATCTGCACATATTTATAACATGAAAAATCTAGAAATATCTAGCCCTCTAGTGACAACAGTATTACACTCAACAAGAAATACTTTGTTACAAAAGCTTAGTATAACAGTTACACAATGTACAACTTGTACAGAGTTACGTAATGAAACTTGTCGTAACTATTGCTTTTAAAATACTCAACTTTTAACACTCATGTTATGAATACTAAATAATCATTAAATATTAAATCACTAAATAAATTAAATAACTCTTAAACTAAACAGCCTTGTATATCCAATACCCAGAATGATGGAAAAATCAATAACAATTAAACTTTTATCAGAACACCAAAAGAGACAGAGTAAACCTGGAACTACCACAAATTAAAACCATTTGAAAACCAGAAGAGATACAGTCAACCTAAACTCACAACCAAACTAAAAACCCATCTTAACACCAGAAAAAAAAACACAAAAAATAGCCAACCTGAAAACAACAAACCATAAAACTATCATGACACCAGGTCGTGATTCATACAACCTGGACACAAAACCAAACTAACAATTCATTATGACACCAGAAAAACATTCAACCTAGAAACAGTACTAACTAAAACCAATCATGACACCAGAAAAGGCAGTCAATCTGGAAACACTATTAAATAAAATTCATTATGACATGACAAGATATACAATAAACCTAGACCCAACATGAAATTAAAAGCCATTATGATAACAGTAATACACAAAGGAAATCTGGAAACAACACCAAATAAAACCCACCATGATAACAGTAATAGACACAGTAAACCTGGAAACAACAAAAAATAAAATCCATCATAACACCAGTAAAAGACAAACCTGGAAACAACACCAAATAAAACTTATAATGACACCAATAAAAGACACAGTCAATCTGGACACACCACCAACTACAACTCAAAATGAAACCTGTAAGAGATACAGTAAAACTGGAAACAACACCAACTAAAACCTATCACGACAACAGAAGAAACCTGGTCAACATGTAAATAACTACAACTAAAACCTATCATGACAATAGAAGAGACCCAGTCAACATGGAAATAACAACAACTAAAACTTATCATCATAACTGTAAATAATGTGATCATATTGAAAACAACAACTAAAACCCACCATGATAACAGTGAGTGACATGGTAAACTTGGAAACAACAACTAAAACCCTCACCATGATAACAGTGAGTGACATGGTAAACTCGGAAACAAGAACTAAAACCCACCATGATAACAGTGACATGGTAAACTCGGAAACAACAACTAAAACCCACCATGATAACAGTGAGTGACATGGTAAACTCGGAAACAACAACTAAAACCCACCATGATAACA